AATTTTAAAGGAGCAGAGGAGGAACTCCGAGAGGCACTCCTAACCTTGAACCAGACAAATATTGGAGAAATGCTACAACAAAAGGGCATTAAATGGAGTTTCAATCCTCCTGCAGCGTCGCACTATGGTGGTGTTTGGGAGCGTATGATTCGCATGGTGAGAAGAATTCTCTCTTCAGTCCTTCATCAACAAAAATTGGACGATGATGGACTCCACACAGTAATATGCGAAGTTGAAGCCATCTTAAACGACTGCCCCATCACCAAGTTATCTGACGATGCAAATGATCTAGAACCCCTGACACCTAATCATATCCTCCTCATGAAAGGTAAGCCGTCTTTGCCACCAGGGCTGTTTAAACACCATGATCTGTACATCAGAAAGCGATGGAGGCAAGTTCAGTACATATCTGATCTCTTTTGGAAACGGTGGATTCGTGAATACCTGCCATTATTGCAAGAGAGGCAGAAATGGAACGAACAGAGAAAAAATCTCAAACCAGGAGATATCGTGATCATTATGGATCCTACAGCACCACAAAGCTCATGGCCTCTTGCAAGAGTGCTGGAAGCATTTCAAGACAAGAAAAAGATTGTGCGTTCAGTGCAGCTTCAGACCAAAAGTAGTATAATAGAACGGCCTGTGACTAAACTCTGCCTATTGCAAGAATCAGTTTAGCTTATCTATTATTAAAGTGTCTCCACTGGGCTATTGTGTATTTGAAGTATTGTGTATGTGCACCTATTATTGCCTGATGTTCTTTTATGGCTCCTTAATATTATATTTGGGAATTGTTACATTTGTATACAATTAGGGGCCGGGATGTAGGAGCCATTTGGCAACTTTGCTCATTGTTCCACTAGGTGGTGCTCTTTAAACAGGCTTTATAAGTGAGAACGAACATTCAGGTAGCAGGTGTTGCTAGACGGAAGGGAGCACATACAGTTTCAAACACACACACTTTCAAACGCACACACTTTCAAACGCACACACTTTAAAACGCACACACTTTTAAACACACACACTTTCAAACACACACTTTCAAACGCACACACACCCACAAACACAAACAAACGCTCACGCGCATTCACACAGAGAGCCGCACACATTCATTCATGCTTTAGCATGACGGTTTGTTTTGTTTGTAAGTCAAGATATGTGGCAGTGTTTGACTTCTACGAACGGAAACTTACCTGAAAGGAAATTTGTGAACTATTGGAGTTTGCAACTGCAATAAACGTAAACATCTTCGGAAACAAGTAAGACTGTTCATTTCATTTACACTACATCAGCCAGAGGACAGTGTGCGTCAGCTGGGTGCCTGTCTAACAACATCTCAGGGACTTCAAGCAATAGGCTTAGCCTCTACAATATATACTTTGCATAAAAACATTATAAATATACTCTGCACAATATAAATAAAACAAATTTTAATACGTATTTCAGAAAACAAACAACCCTTAATGAGTTTATTCCTTTATTAAGATATTCATGTTAATGTTTACTTTCATCGTTTCATTTAGAGAAACTCCTGAGGACTTTAATAATAAATCTAAATAAAATGCTGCGCTTCCCACCTCCAGTCGCAATGACTTCTGGGACTTCCAGAGCGAGTTCGGTGCTCAAGTCTGCATCAGTGCATCCTCGATATCAAGAACACATCCGGGAAGTTTCACGCGTCCTTCGTACTTGCGGGCTTGAGTATTGGAACTGAACTTAGGCAGCTGATGATGACGTTGCACGAGAACACGAGGACGCAAGACAGCTGAAGAACGCATATTGAGAAACAGCCTCAAACTCGCTCATTTTGAGGCAGGAACCGGTGGACGTGCAACAACTTTAACCATGAGGTAAACACAGAACAAAACTTTCCATCTGGAGCTCCTTCACGGGACTCCACACTTGTAAACAATCGCTCGCGCCATTCGCGCGGCTTTCGGTCCCGCCCAGACTCGTCGGCGCTAGCAAGCCGACCAATCACAGAGCTTGCGCTACGCGTTGTTGCGACGTGTAGTTACAATTTTTGAGAGGTGCACGTCAGTGACGGCGATGGCCACGGCGAAGGGCTATGCATCAGCGCCGTAGCCTATGCCGGTGTTTGACGCAAAAGTATAAATCAGCCTTAAAGCGAGCGAGACAGGGCGAGCCAAGGCCAGTGGCGTTTCCACTGTCAATTCCGGGGCCTAATCGGGCCAAAGCGGGGCTTTCTTGGGGCCAGCGGCTGGCCTTTTTCGGCCCGCCGAATACCTTGGGCCAAGGAGGGCCAGCTGGGGCTTCGGGGCGGAGTGAAAGGAGAGGCGGGCAGTTTTCTGATCGCACATGAGTACATGCGCCAAACAAATAAATAAGGCAAAGAAAACGTCTAGCCTTATAGTCTGGGATCTTTTTGCGTATGATCACCCTTATGTTTCCCTTTTAAATGTAAGGCTGCTGCATAAAATAATAAAGCAGTTTTAATTTATAGTGACGTTTTTTGCTGCAACCTCCTTTATGTTTTAATAACACATAATAATCTTTACACCATATTAAGCCGACAGTAAAGGTTTTCGAGAGTTTTTGTCAAGTTTAAAATGTTTGTTTGTGCGCGTTTAATGCGTGTGTGTGTGTGAGACCGGGCAAAAGCGCTCCTTCACAGCTCTGTTATGCCGCGAGCGGCTTTTTTCTTTATTTATTTTGGAGATAAAACACAATATAAATACAACAGAAAGACATAAAACTTAAAAAATTACGTGCCCACTTTCGTAGACTTTAAACAATATAGTGTCATATCTTGATAAAATAGCCTAAACTATATTGAAATATAATTTAAAGAATTACAAATATCGGATATATAAAATCACATTAAATAAATTAACCAATATAAAATAAACAAAAGCTAGCTATAACAATATAGGTAGCCTATATACAATACATAAATCAAACCGTTTTAAAGCCACATATAGTCTAACTTTCATTTTACAAAGACCTGTCTGAAAAAAAAAGATTTTCGATATTTTCTAAAAACAATAAACACCGGAGAAGGTTTGAAATATTTATATAAAGTAAATATTTATACAAGTAAATATTTATAAAGTATTTGGATGCGATGATATTAATCAAATCGCTCAAACAGAGCATTATTTGGGTGAGTGAAAGCAGAATCTAGCCTATAGCCTACCTTTTTATCTGTCACTCAGTCCTGCGCAGCGCTCGCTGCTTTAAACGCATCGGGGGAAAGTCCAAACACAAAATGTGTTCTATATCCTCAAACAACTGTTTATGTTTTAATATGACGTGGTTAAATTTATAAATGAAACTTTAAATGTAGAGCTTTAATGAATAGCTGCCGAGCGCAACAAATATTGCTCTATTTTATTAGGCTACTCGCTCTTTTGATATTTCTATCAAAACGAGGATGTTATAAAATACATGCCATATCGAGTTATAAAGGAGAATTTCTGTGGTTTTATATTATGGATGTGTGCGCTCTCTGTGTTGGGTCCCTGCGTTAGTGGCGAGGGCACTCGATGCACAATATGCCAACAGTCGGTCGGCGAGTAAACAAATGTAATGAATGGAAATACACTGGTCTGTGCGTATAGACATTTCATGTACTGCTGTACAGTAACGTGTCGTTTGTTTGTTTCGGTTGTCTTCATTTTAATGGTTTCGTTTAGTGATGATTCTATGGTGTGCTTTATCTGCCTGTCCTGATTCCAGCTGAAGTGGACGGGTTGTGTGACGTTTGATTCGGGGACGTTCTGTGGGCGGTATTTGCGTGACGCGCTGTGAGGTAATAGCCCGACAGTGGAAACGCGACATGATTTCAGCCTCATTTCTCAACCTCCTGGGCTATTGGCCTGGCCCGGCCCGATTAAAGCCCTGGCTCGCACTGGCCCGATAGTGGAAATGCGATGTGAGTCCAGAACTCAGCTGCCAGGCTTTTAACAGGCCGAAAATAAAGAGAGCACATAACATCTCTACTGGTTTCCCTACACTGGCTACCAATCTAGTTTAGAATTCAGTACAAAGTAATGTTGTATGTTTTTAAATCCCTCCATGGCCTGGCCTGAGTGTATTTCTAAGCTAATTAACATACACAAACCGTGAGAGTCTACAGGAATCAGAGATTCAATACCTTTTAAGACTCTTTCTATAAATTGAGACCTTATAACCACTTTAAGATTCAACCAGAAACATTAGCGGGATTTTAAATTACAGTATAATTATTAAATTTTAAGGTAGGAAAGTAATGCAAAAATATATAAACAACTGAATAAATAGCTATTAAATCTAGCTAATTCAGCAGGTTGGCGCCTATAGAAGTGCAGAAATAAAGGTGTTGCCTTGGTTACTGCAGTGAACAAAGCAGCATGATGTCAAATCTAGCAAGATTTTACTGATAATATAAACTACACAGCATTCTGATATTCGGAGAGTAAATTCAGGCAAACTTCAGCATACAACCATACATTGCTTCATCAAAAACTTTAAATTTAACACCTTTAAAATAGCCTTTAAGACTTTTTAATACTTTTTAAGGGCCTTAAATTTCTCTACATTGATATATCTACTTTTAATACTTTTTAAGACACCGCGGACAACCTGTCTAAGGATCATCTCTATTTGACAGTTCTGCGATCACGCTTTAAATGTTGAGGTGATCAGCAGCAGATCTTTGGAAATTTTTAGTTAGAACATAATTCAATCACAACACACATACAAAATTTTTTTCCTAACCTTGATGAATCAGAGTATTGTACATGATGATCAACATTCATGTTCATTCATCTTTCTGCACACTGAAAACTTTCATTTATGCCTTTCAAACCTCTAAGCAAATACATTAATTATCTAAAAAGTATTGAGATTTTAGCAGTTCCTCCTTTTATAAAAATATATATTATTTTTTAAATGTGATATAAGTCTCTGGAATATTACGATCTTGTTCTAAAAAGAACAAAAAAGCTAAGTCTGAAAACAAAATTAACAAATGTGACAAGTGATAATTTCAAACTAACCTTTGGAAGCAAAGGTTTCTGAGTTCATCGTCCATATCAGCACTGTAGTCCACAAACTGTCCATCAGCCGTATTCTTCTTGAGTTGAAACATCATGTATTGGTGTTCAATAGTTTGGGTATGCAGGTTAAACTCTGCCAAACATGCATATGACAACTCACAAGCCCTGCACTTATGCACTTGTGGTCTGTAGGAAGAAAACCATACATTTACAAAAAAAAATACTACAGGTATACAGTAGTCAGTAGATAATTTCTTCAAAATGATCCTTAAACTATTGAACAACACCCATTCTTGTTTTGATCCATCTTAAATATGTAGAACAGCATAAGCAAGATGATGGTTTTGAGTCATATACCTGCCTTTCAGCTGCTCAATCCTCTGATGGTGTGAACCACTGTGCATATGTACATCGATATCCTGTTACAGCAAAGATCGTGATAGTAAAGAATAGATCAAAAATATCAACAGCCAAATGTGTTTATACCAGGGGTGCACAAACTTTTGCTTATGAAGGGCTAAAAACCAAATATCATTATGAGCCGTGGGCCGAAGGTAAATATGCCGAACTATATTACATTACAGTTGCCATGGATAATTTCCTAATTGATTACATAGCATTTAAAAAAATAGAAAACATTAAATAGTATTATCTAATGCAGCATAACCTTTTAAATGATAACTTATTGCAATAAAAACAATCACATTGGAGTACAATGCTGAATACTCCAGTCAAGCAGAATCTGCTTTGACTTGATTTGCTCACCAAATTCTCTGCATTGTCTGTGACATTATTTACATTTAAACCGATTAATCTGATTACTTTACACCATTTTAACAATAAAACAAACAAAGGGTTACATTAAATTTAAACTGACAATCTGGAAACCATCCCTATCATTCTTCCTCTCCTTGAATGGGATAGTGAGCCAAATCAAAGGTTACCATGAGCCAATTTTGGCCTGCGGGCCCTAGTTTGGGCATTTCTAGTTGAAACAGTCACTGATAATAGAGCAGAAAACATTCTGTTTGGGAGTAAAGGCCAATAACTTAAAGCACCAGATAAAACAGTTTTGCAGAATGATATTAACATTTAATGTTAAGCTGAATATTGTAGCTTTCATTTATAATGTTGTCATTCTTAAAGGGAATGCAGTAGTGTTACTGCATAATATCATAATAAAAAGGTGAAAAGCTGCTAACCTGTACAGGGAAACTCTTACAGCATATGCAACAAGTGCTGCAATCTTTGTGTTGTTGCTTCCTAAATAGATGAAAAGTTCATATTAGAACGTCATATTAAAATTTATTTTGATAAAATAGCATGCAAACATCAGGGCAGTTTATAAACTTGAACATTTTTAATTAAATCCTTCACATTTAATGATGACAAAATACCTTTGTTGCTGTATTTTAAGGGCTCTGAGTTCATTTTTAGTAAGGGCAATATCGCAGTCCTCTCGAAGTTCCTTTTGTTTCCCTTTAGTGTGGAGAAGAAACAACCCATGTGTGTGCTCAGGGGTTGAAATATGCTCCTTATACATCTCAAGTCCCATCAAAGACACATTACAAGCAAAACAGTTATGCAACTGTTTACTGCAATGACAAAAGTGCATATTTACTCAATGAAAGAAGGGCATTATAACAATACGGTAAAATTTTAATTCCATACCTCCTCTTGATATGCTCGATTGCCTCATGGTGCACATAAGAATGTATATGACTGGTCAAATTCTGGAAAAATTACAAATATTTTTGTCAACCATATGGACATGTTGATATAATAACCATATTTACATTTTTTCTCTTCAAGTATAAGTATTTTATATAGAGTAAAACTGTGGCTCAGTGGTTAGCACAGTCACTTCAAAGCAAGAAGGTCGCCATTTCAAGCCCTGGTTGTGTCAGTGTTCATTCCTGTGTGGAGTGTGCATGTTCTCCCCGTGTTTGTGTAAGTTGGTGATTCATTCTGCAGTGGCAACCCCTTATTAATAAAGAAACTAAGCCAAAAGAAAATGAATGGATGAATAAAAACTGTGACACATTAATGTAGTGAGCGTATATAAAAATGATTAGAATAATTATTTGTACTTTTTTGTTACATATTTCTAGTGACAAGCAGATGAATCACTGATTGGAAAGAAGAACATGTCAAGTAATAACACTGATGACTCATCCTGCACTCACTCATTTTGTCCTTGTATTTTTCAGGATGAAAACAAATTATAGCAAGCAGCAAACACATACACGTTAGATAACTTATTATCATATAACTCTAATGACCATCGCAGTAATATAATCAGACAACAAACAATATTGCTGTTACAATATAAGTTATAACGTTATATAAGCAAATTTGATTACAAGTTACAAACCTTTTCTCCGTACTGCTTACCACAAATCAAACATCTCCTGTAATTTTTCCCGATATTGTGGTTAACGTTAGCATGATTGCGCTTTTTCTTTATCTTCGTTTTGGCTTTGGCTTGGTTTGGTTTGGCTTTCATTGCTGCTTTAGGTCAGGAAACAAACAAAGTAATGCTCGTGACAGGATTGCTGTTTAAACTGTTTACTCGGAGCAGCTAGCTGGAAGCATCTTGTCATGAATCGTAGCGTAATACTAACTTAATTTGTAATTTGTAATAAATACTATATTAATTTGCCTAAATTTATATTTCATCACTGCTTGTCAGCACATCAGCCGTCCACGTGTTTGCTGAATTTGAACATGTTGGTGATGGTGGCTAACAGTGTTGCCACATCCTACAAAAATAAACCATATGTTAAATAGTGCTCAAAATTATGATGCTCGCCTAACCAAAATAAATTCCTGTGGTTTATACTTTGTCAGATGTAAAATAGAAGTGGAAGAATGACTTTCCAAAAATATTAATAGTAATAATAAATAAAAAAATAATAAATAAATGAACTGGCTACGTTTTGCTGAACCTGGCAACATTGCGGTAGGAATAGACGGTATGACGGCGTTTAAAGCTCCCCCTAGTGCTGTGGTTCTCTCTGAAAGTTGCCTTATTATGGTTTCAAATCACAATAATTATTGACCAATTCTGATTAAAAAAAAAAAGCAAAACAAAACATCGCTTATATGTCCTACTTCAGATTACCACAATCTTGATTACCATGATCACATCACATATTTAAACAGAATATAAGTAATAAAAGAGGGGGGAAACAGAAACATCAGAATGTGGGTGAATTAATCAAAATAATGTTTTAAAAAGAACAATTGCTAAAATTACAGAAATGCAATGTGTGGACTTTCAGTTGATTTCAGTACTTTTATATAACGTTTTTCCCAAAGCATTATAAAAGCCATGCATGCAAGCACCCACACACACTTGCACAAATACTCAAAACTTCTCTAAAGCTAGAATGACTCCAGTTCATAAAGGTTCTGAACATTGCTTTTCTGTTGAAGTTAGTGTGCAGAAAAAAAAAACATGTGAGAAAAAAGCGCGTTTATAGCAAGGCAATCTTTAGAAAAGTTTATTTATTTATTTATCTATTGTTGATATTTTAATTAACTTTTATCTTTTTATAATATAATAAAAAGTGTTACTAGTATTAAATAACAAAAAGCAGAAATCTTGTTTATGTAAAATAATATTGAACATTTTCTTTATTATTATCATTTATTTGTTCTCAAGATTGCTTTTGCTATACATAGGCAATACTTATAATGTGATATGTGTATTTAGATGTAATGATTTTTTTTCTTTCTAAATATTAACATTATTTATTTTAATACCACAGTATAGGTATCAGTGTTGGTATTGTTAAAATGGGTATTGTTTGTTGTTGTATAAAAAAGTATTGGAACCATATTGAAAAGAAAAAAGAAAAACAGTATCACTCATCCCCAATGTGGCACGCTAGGTTATTAGTATCTGACTGTATGTTATTAACAATATTGGTGAGTATTTTTTCCCCAATTCAATTTAGCTTTATTTGTATGGCGCTTTTACAATGCAGATTGTGTCAAAGCAGCTTCGCATAAATGGTCATAGTAACTGGAACAGGGTAGTTCAGTTTAAGTGTTTAAGTTCAGTTCAGTTTAGCTCAGTTCAGTGTGGTTTAAAATCACTACAGAGAGTCCAAACACTTAAGAGCAAATTCATCGATGCGTAGCTCTACCGATTTTGTAACTTGTTTTTATTCTATTATCTTATCTGTTTTCATTAAGCATGTACTTGAAGTTTTAGTAATTATGTTTTTGCTATTTATATTTATTTTTGCGGTAGTAAAACATGCATTTAGTCTTTAGTAATTTGTATTCTAGATTTTAGTTTAGATTGTTGGGTGTTTCCCAGTGATTGGTTTGCCGCTGGAAGGGCATCCGCTGTGTAAAACATATGCTGGATAAGTTGGTGGTTCATTCCGCTGCATGTGTCGACCCCTAATTAATAAAGGGACTCAGCTAAAAAGAAAGCGAATTAATTTTAGTTTGGTTTTGGATGAAAATACATTAACATTTATTTATTTGTATAGAGGGGTCACGGTAGAAACATTTTTGAATCTCTAAGATTCAATAAAACCGTTTTTTAATACGAAAAACATTTTAATATTCAAAAGAACCTGTTTTCTTCTAAAAAGAGAACCCTTAGTGGATAAAGTCTGAGGGTGGCGCTGCTCACAAATCATACAGAGAGTTCACCTCACCGAAGAATGCAAACACGGAAGCGTCTTCTGATCTGGACTATACTGTACATATTTTTACATCTGTCTGATCAGAAATGTGTACCGGTTGTGTCCAGAAGCAATATCCCGACAGGGTGAGTTATGATCATCTGTGACTGCAACAACTCATGCACATCTGTCGCTTGCTATTTTTCTTTCTATGTGCTGGTTGCTGGTTTTCAGCCAACATCACTGTGCTGTTTGCGCCATGGTCATTTCAAAAGTTTGATGCCTTAATGCTAGCCCAACAAACACATATCCGTTGTAGCGATGTCTGCACAACGTTGTATTTTTTTAAAGGGAACGTTGTCTCTTACGTGCTCGCTACATTGTCACAACGTAGAAATGTAAGACGTGAGAAGGCTGTAGCAACGTTGTCGTGCGACATTCAGCAACCGCGAGGCGGCGTTCTTACTACTTGTATTAATATTTTTTTGTGGCAGTTTATCAATACTGCCTAGAATACAGGATAAGCAACAATTCTTTTCCAGTATTGCTAAATATGAAATATTATTCATTTATTTTACCAAAATTACATACAATTAAATAAATTTAGAGATACAGGGAAAACAGGTTTGAGTTAACAGAAGTCAGAGTTAGTCTCTGAATACTTACTTAAATTATGAGAAGAGAAAGAACAGGCCCTGTAGTTGTGGCGTTGCTCGCTATAAATGGAATGTTAAACTTAGTGTCATTTCAATAACAGCTGTACAAAATAATAAAGTAATTTTTCATAAGCATGATCTATTTTCCACATTATGGACATGCTGTTTTAGGTAACATAACTACATTTAATAGTAAATAGAGTAGTATACTTCTTACCTCATCCAATTCTTCTTTCCATAGATCAGGAATTACAGCAACACTGATCTGAGGTGAATTCAACAGCTGAAAACATTCTGAAAGACAAGTTACATAAGTAATTTGAAAACAACAGTGAGTGGTTAAACAATAGAGTTTTATGCAACTTACGCATAATTAAAATCCAGAAATTATCAATAGAAGATTACCTCCATGTAAAAATAGCCTGTTGAGTAAAGAAAAGAGTGGGTTTTAAATAAAACATTAAAAGACCAATTAAAATAGAAATTTAGACTAGCAGACCTTTTAATTACTATCTATATTAATTAGGCATATGAACATTAATTTATATACTTTAACTTGTAGGGATAGCTCACCCAAAACTGACAATTCTGCCATTTAAGCCTCATCCTTTATTTGTTGCAAACTTATTTAGCTTTTTTTCTGCTAAACAATAAAGAAGATATATTAAATAAAGCTGGAAAACTGTAACTGTAATTCCATAGTGTTTTCCTACTATGAAAGCAAATGCTTACAGTCTTTAGTGTTCAACAGAATAAAGAAACTTAAAGGTTTGGAATCACTTATTATTTACAGGGCAAATAATTCGTGAGTACATATCATTTTTAAATTAACTGTTCCTTTAACGGGACGCAATCTACACAGAGATGTTTTGTTTTTAAAAGTTATTTTGTGTGTTTTGTAAATAGTGGGTCGGCTCGTGTGATGAAGTATCATACTAACTGATCACGATAGATATGGAAAAAAATGAACTTCAAAAACATTATTGTCCATTTGATTAAAGACAAGGCGTAGGTAAATAATCAGGAAATGTTTTATCGAGAGATTTAACATGTGATGTTGGAAAAGATTGTTGTCGAAATCGTAGGTTTGTTTGAATATTCACGATTTACGTATCTTATTTAGCAAGAAGAAATAAAGCAATACTCACGTCTCCTCGGTCGTTGATGAATGAGACGACGGCTTGTTGAAATTTAAACTGATTCAGCTGTGACCAGTAAATGTTGTACAGTGGTCGTCCACGCCACCTAAGCACAACCTAAAGCATGCGACCCTCATGATGTTTAAATGGCAACCTTATGACATCGTTGTGAACACCTTTAGCAACAACGTAGAATCCTCAACCTTTTTGCAATGTTGGTACAACGTTGTAGGAAGGTCGCTACGTTGAGGCAACGTTGTGTGTTTGTTGGGAGGTTGTTTATTCGCTGTCCTTTAAAGCAGCTACATTTAATGGAAGAAACTGAAGGTAAGTATAATTTAAAAAACAATTGCCTTGCTTCCTTGGGTGTTTACTTTGAGAAATCTAGATATGATTATTATTATTATTATTATTATTACATTTTACAAGTTTCAAAAAACGTCACTTGTAGATATGCAAATAAGTTATAATTTAATTAAACATGCAGTAATTTGCATGCATTTCTTGCGCAAAAATTAACACACACACATATATATATATATATATATATATATATATATATATATATATATATATTTTTTTTTTTTTTTTTTTTTTTTACTCAGAGTGGGTATCTGTTTTTATTATTATGCTTGAAAAGCATACAAAATACCATGTAACAGTAAGAGGATAAATCATTGTACAATTACAAAAAAGTCAAAATATCAGCAAGAAAACAGAGAGAAAAATGTAATAATAATAATACAAAATATATAAATAATTCTAGCAGTTCATTCTAAAGTGGCGACCCCAGATTAATAAAGGGTCTAAGCTGAAAAGAAAATGAATGAATAAATTCAATTAAAAAAATAAAACAGAGGGGGGGCACTCTTTAAAAAAGATCTTCAGTTTAAGGGCTTTTTTATAATGCATAAGCTTCAAGAAGACCTAGAGTGGGTATCTTTTGTCACTTTATTACTAAGAAAATACTGCAAACAGCCAGAAGTGTTTTGTTATATATAGAAAATGTTTTTCTGTCTGTGCCAGTGCGTGGTTAGTGCGTAGACACATGCACTCTCGTGCTCTTGGTGACCCGAGTTCGATTCCCGCCTTGCAGTGCTATGCGAATCCTTCATCTCTCTCTGCTCTTCATGATTTATTGTCAATAATCTCTACTGTCCAGTCCATTTAAAGGTGAAAACCCCCCAAAGGTATTAAGAAATAACAAAACTCATGAAACAGATATGTAGAAAAACATAACTTTTGGGGATTTATGGCTCAAGGCTAGGCATGAGCCGGAATAGGATTTCAGTGGAATGATAATCTTGAATAAAAAAATCCCGGTTTCACAGTATTGTGATTACTGCTCTAAAGTATACTCTTTTTAAATGTCTGGGTAGAACAAGCACTTTTTTCTGCTTTGACCACAATGGCTGCATCCGAAATCACACATGTCCATACTATATAGTATGCTATAACAGTATACGAGCCGGGAAGTATGTCCAAATTCATAGAATTTGAAAAACAGTATGTGAGAAGTACCTGGATGACCTACTATTTCCACTGAGATTCTAAAGTGTGCATGATCTGATAGACGCTACAGCGAGAGGATGCACAGTGAGAGAATTCATGAATGGGAGTGAAGCGGGTATATCATGTGATGAGGACAAAATGGCATCCATAGTACATCTGATTTCCATTCACACTACGTAAAAAAAAATCTTATATATACCATAGGAACGGTATAACAGGAAATTTTGAAAATTTAAAACCATGATAAAACCTTGAAAACGGCTATCGTCCCATGCCTACTCAAGGCAGCACAAAATGATCATTTTAAAATGGTCTTTAAAATATACATCGCCTTTGAAATCTGCAAACACAAGTGCAACAAAGGAAACACTTAAAATGTTGTTTTATTTTCATTTAACTGTGCCAAAAAGCCTTAAAATTGCCTAGTTCATGGAAAAAACTGTCTGCAGTGTCTTGTCTGAACAAACATGTCAGATTGTCTACAATTTTGCTCTGGTGTGTATATAGGGTAACACATGTCTAGAGAATGGCTCATATCTCATGAATTTTGTGGGCTGTGCCAACTGTCACCAGCGGGACTTTGTGCTGATCAGTGACCGGACGATGGTGAATGAAGATGAGGAGGAGATTGTCACTTACCTGCGTGAGTGACGTCACATTATTGCATGTAAATAATGATGCTCTACAAGTGGTCATAATGAGTGAACTTTGCTTTTCCTCAGACATGTGCAAGAACTGTGAACATGTCATAGCCAGACACGAGTACACCTTCACTGTGGTGGATGACTATCAGGTGAGCCCTCGCTTCACAGGAAAAAACAAACAGCATATTAAGTATATTAGAGATTTATATATATATATATATATATATATATATATATATATATATATATATATACATTTGTATTAGTGTGACATTGAAATTATTACTCTTGTTTGTTAATGCATAATTTAATTGACAAGTTACATAATATATTTACTTCATAATAAACATGCTGGCCCATCTATAAAAGTTTAATAATTATATGGAAAACATAAAATATATATATGTATTTTTTTCTTTCATATAGATGTTAAAAATTTTGTTGGTTTAACAAGTCTTGTTCTCTCTCTCACACTTTTAAATTTTTATTTTATTTTGTCAGGAATACACAATGTTGTGTATGTTGTGTGGAAAAGCAGAGGACTCCATCAGCATATTGCCAGATGATCCCAGACAAACAGCACCTCTCTTCTAGAGCATGCACGTACACACATACATAGGGATGAGAAAAAAGCAAATTTGCATGATGAGGGAGTTTTGATACATATGATCTGTGCTTAACACTGGAGAACAACACAGTCATGTTTAATCCAGGAACTTAACCCAATGCATTGTGCAGCAAAAGTGGCAATAAAACTCTCAGTATGACTCTGATGCATGAAACCTAGACCACTTAATATACACAATGTAGCTTTTGCCTATTATACGAGTCTGCATATTTGTTTGTCTCATCAAGAGTTGTTTGAGTGGATTAGCAGTGAATTTTAACCACAAAAAAAAAAAGAGTTTGCAGCTTTTGTTACAATGCAGCACATAGAAAATGACTGAATTTGGCAGAAAATATTTTGAATGATACACACAAGAATAAAAAGCAGAATCACGCTTGATAGTACTGATACTAATGTTCAATGTACGAAGTCACACAATATTTCCAACAAGATGCAACAAGATGTTTTATGTTTTGTCTAAATAAACAGAGCAAAAAGTTGATTTTATTTTAAAGCTTTATAAAAGACATATATATATATATATATATATATATATATATATATATATATATATATATATATATATATATATGTGTGTGTGTGTGTGTGTATATATATTATAATGGGCTGCACAGTAATGCAGTGGGCAGCACGTTCGCCTCACGGCAAGAAGGTCGCTGGTTTGAGCCTTGGCTGGGTCAGTAGGTGTTTCTGTGTGAAGTTTGCATGTCTTCCCCTTGTGCGTTTCCTCCAGGTGCTTCGGTTTCACCCACAAATCCAAAGACGTGATACAGGTGAATTGAATAGCTACATTGTCTGCAGTGAATGAGTGTGTGTTGATGTTTTCCAGTCATAGGTTGCAGCTGGAAGGGCAACAGCTGTGTAAAATGTGCTGGATAAGTTGGCGGTTCATTCCGCTGAGGCAACACCAGATTAATAAAGAGACTAAGCCGAAAGAAAATGAATCAATTGATGAACATATGTTTTATACAGTAGATGGCCTTCCAGTTGCAGCCCAGTACTAGGAACCATCCATACACACTCAATCACACATACTACGGCCAATTTAGTTTTTTCAATTCATCTATACCACATCTTTGGACTGTGGGGGGAAACCGGAGCACCCGGAGGAAACCCACATGAACACAGGGAGAACATGCACACAGAAATGCCAACTGACCCAGCCAAGACTTGAACAAGCGACCTTCTTGCAGTGAGATGACAGTGGTAACCTTTGAGCCACCTTGTCACCCCGTAACCAAAACTAGCAATCTGAATATCCGTTATTGAATAAAACACTAGAGTAATTTTAATATATCCTCCTTGAAAAATTGTTAGTCTATCTGTAAAACCTGTTTAATTATGATTAAATGAAATTGTATGAAATAAAATGCATCATTTTTTATTTTTTTGTAAATCTTATATTAATAGCAATATGCTTAGCAAATAAACAGATTTAAAAAAAAGTTTGTTTAGGCTTTTACTGCAAATTCTTCTTATTATTTATTTTGTTTATTATATTTTGCAGGAATACACAGCTTTGTTTGTTTTACCTAGTTTAAACTAGAAGGTTTGTTCACCTAGTGTAGACTATGAAACAATGAATTATAACATTTATTATTGACAGCATAATATCGTCACAGCATCAAGCATCTGGTACTTAAGAGTACTTATTTATTCCATTAATATGAATACATATACATTCCAACTTTTTTGCATGATTGAAATATGTTTGTTAGCAAAATACAGTACATGAAGCATGAGGTGTAATTTCTTTTTTTCTTAATATATTTATATCTATTTACAGTTCAGATTATGTACAATTCGCCGTCCCTCAGTTGATGGAGCCTAAACTGATGCTCTTAAAGTAAAAGTACCTCCGGAAAACAAAACAAAATAAACGATCCCAAACAAAACAGCTATTCTAGAAGCACAGCACACAATGAACTTATGGTAATGACTCGGTAGCTACAATCCCTTTCTTTGTGCCTAACGCTTTTAACAAATACAACAAGAGAATTCAATTCCAAATTGAGTCCGAAACAGCCAACGTATCAAACAGACATTTTGCTGATGTGTTCAAGTAATATGGTAGTGGGACTATAGTGTCTGAATCAAGAGTTCCTGGAAGGGTCCGTAGCATTTCATTGGAATAAATCAGTAGGTTTCTTGTCGACGTTATGACTATTTACAGGGGTTGTTAGTATGATATTGCAGGCATGGAAGAGATTATACTTGGCAACTGCAAGGACCCTTAATGTGATGGCGAATTCCCTCAGTAGCGGCTAGTAAAGCTACATCGTCAGGTACGTAACCACATCCAATAAATAAATAAATAAATACATTCTATAGATGATACAGTTTACAGTACATACATTCCCTGAAATACATATATACACATGCTTGCTTGGACCAGGTGTATCTATACATGAATGATATTATAGTGTATAGATAGCCATTAGCTTACAGGTGTTAAACTCAGTTCCTGGAGGGCCGCAGCTCTGCAGTTTAGTTGCAACCCTAATCAAACAATTAAACTAATTGAGTGATTTAGGTTTGTTTGATACTTACAGATAGGTGTGGTGAAGCAAGGCTGGAACTAAACTCTGCAGGGCTGTGGCTCTCCAGGAATTGAGTTCCACACCCCTGCGTTAGCTGAAAAGAGCATTTAAACGCTTGTTGGGGGAATAAACGTAAGGCTAAAGATGTGAAGTGCCTACAAAACAAGTAACATGCATCTGTTTGATAGAATACAATGAGGTACTACGTGCCGCCTCATTGTTCTCACATTTCAAACATTAGTGATTGAATGATAGTGTTAAAAATAGGAGACTGTGCAAGTCAGATTATGCAAAATTGTTAAAAATAAATAAAATATTTTTTAAAAGTGTATATATGAGAACAAAAACATGAACGAAATGAAAACACAGTATGGCACAAACTATATCGAATAAAAAATAATAATAAATGATGAAATAAAATCAGCTCTTTTTAGATATAAAGACACACAGCATCACTAGAGGATTTCAGCATGTTTAAGGAATTATAGTTCACTGAAATATGTACATTTGTTGTTGTTTTACTCAGTTCATCTGGTCATTCAGGAAAACTTTAAAGAAGATTTTTAGCTGAAAAGAAAATGTAGGTCAATGTGATTAATACAATTGCACTTAGCAGCTTTTAGTTGTTTTGAGAGTCAAAAAACAAACAAACAAATGCTAAATAAAAATAATCCACAGCAGTTTTAAAAAGAGAAATTACAAGCAGTGGATTAGGAAGAGAATTAAAATTTTAAATGTAGTGTTGGTAACATTAGTTTAGCTTGGCCTGTACTTTTTTACATTATATATGACCATAAAGCATCCCTCTTTTAGATGAAAATCTTCTTCAATGCCTTACTGAAAAAAAAGTCTCCAACATGATGAGTAAAGTAACCACAAATGTTCATTTTTGAGTGAAATGTCTTTCTAATACTTAACATTTCGATAAAATCTCCAAAACATAAAACTTTCAAGTACATCACAACCAACCGGCAAAAACCTTTTACCTCTCTACTCATCAAAACACCACTTGTAAAAAGGCTACAGTTCTTCAGGAGACGTTAAAAGCTACTTTTAAAACCGTTGGACGTTTCTCTGTACACACTTTTCTGTTTATTTGCTCATTTTGGTGGTGGTTTTGCTCTCAGCACTGCCGGCTCTGACTCTGGAGCAGAAGCCCGAGCCTTGGTTTACTCGCAAGTCACTGATTCTTGGAGGGGGGGAGGCTGAGCAGCTGCTTGGTGATTGGCTGTGAGCACCTTCAAAACGGGAAGGAGAGGAGCTCAGTGAGCGTTGCAGAGAGCAGGCGGTGGTCCTCTGGCAGCGGGACGAGCAAACAGTCAGTCCACCGCGTTCCTGCATCAGCTGAGACAGGTTGTCTAGGAGGTCCGTGTCACCGGTGCTGCTGGCACGAATGCGGTAACGTCTGCGTCTGAATAGATCATATCGATACATCAAATGCATACTGTAAATGATAAAGTCATATATATATTTCTCTGCTACTAAAGGTAGTTTTTCAGATTGATAGATAAAAATTGTTTTTTAAAAAAAGCTATAATTATTAGTTGTTAAGGGAGCAGAAAAGCATTTTTTTTTTCAAATGTTTACATACTTACAGATATGCAGTGATGGATTAAAATTTCTGTCTTCCAATCCATCTCAGCAAGGATCAACGTTTACCTTTTTTATTATCCTTTTTCTTACTACTTTATTAATATGATTATTTAAATCAGTATTTAATTTTGAAACGATTTTGACTAAATAATAAGGTTAACACATTTGCTTAATGTAAGAACGTTCAGTGTTTTTGCCTCTCTTGCTCTCTTTGTAATACTATTTTCAGGAGCCACCAAAACAGGTCAGAGGTCATAGAGACATCTTAAGTGGAACTGAAGGACTGGAAATGATCGCTTTCCTATTTGTATTGCTATGTGTTAATACAGTCTAGTTATTTTGATATTAATTATGTGTTAATTGTGTTCAAAGTGATTTTCCCTTTTATGCTAGATAGACTGTGTAGTGAGAATCTAGCAGCCTGAATGTTGATTATACCAGTGCTGAACCAGTTTGATAAGACAGCTGAGGACACAATGAAACAACCTGGAGCTTTTAAAAAAAGACGATTCAGAAAAGTGATTTCTTCGTGAATCAGACTGCGCCTTTGATTTTGATTCACTTAGAGAAGCCTGTTCATAATTTAACTTAGTAATATAATTATGAACCTCATGTATTTGATTCACTTAAAACAACAGAGTCCTTAACTTGTGAATCTGACTTCACTAGTCAAGTTGTACGATTTGGATTGACCAAAAAGAATAAAACTTTTATAAACAGGGTTTCTGCTAGGGCTGGGCGATTTGGCCTAAAACCAAAATCTTGATTAAATGAACATTTTAACTCGATTACGATTAATAAACAATTATTTTATTTATTTATTTAACAAGTTTTGTAGCCTACAGTAAATATGATCACATATTACAAATAAAAGACTTTTAAATAAAGGGTGTATTACTTGATTTTAAAATAATTGAAGAAAACACACACTATTATCTATGATTATTTGTTGAACATTAACGTTGAACACCTGAAATTAAAGCACATATTGCCTAAAACCAACAGACACTTTTTTTTCTTTTTTTTTGCGGAACATGGGTATGCGCTAGAAGGCTGCGCTGCGCCAGACCATACCCGTGCGTTCGACGCAGAATACTGTATGAAGTATGTATGAATTATATTGATTATAGGTTAGGAATTTTGATTACTTTTCGATTAATTGCCCAGCCCTAGTTTCTGAAGGTCTTTCCAAGTAAAATTTAAGACTTTTTAAAACCTTTTTAAGACTATGAAGAATGAAATTTCAGACTTATATAGGGTTAAATGCTAAGGATTTTTAATGGCCTAACAGAAAACAAAAAAAAAATCTAACTCGTTATTTGTTACATGCATATTTATATAATGCATCAAAAAAGCAAACATTAGTTGTATAAATTTTTTGCAACATGAATAGTTTTGCTAAACATTTTGTTGAGATGTGTTATTGTTGATGATCCAGAGCATGTCAGATTGAGTGGGTTTATTTCTGATTCTGGGTAAAGATTAGGCTTTAAAAGTGTTTTTTTGTGCTGCTCATGATAACAACAACACAGGGAAACTTCTGACTTGGTACAGTATGAAATATTAGTTTTAAGATCATTGCGTCTCTTACCTGTTTTCTCCACCTGTGCGGAGAGGTGGTTTTCCTGGTGGCGGTCGAGGAATAAATCGAGCAGAGATCTGATCCGACACTAGTGTGGGGCTTATGGGTCTTGGTATTTTACTCTTGCTCGACAAAGGGCCTGAAGAGGAGGACAAAGAGAGCGGCTCCTCCACCTGCCAGTCTGACCCTCGGGAACCGGTGGGGAAGGTGAATTTGTCACGCAGCAGTGCTGAGGGGAAGTGCTCACATGACAGCGACAGGGATGGAGAAAGCGGAGCCGGAAAACACTTGCGGGTCGGAGAGTCCGGGTCACGGACAGGGATGCGACTGGCTCGTGGAGAGAGTTCACGAGGTGAAGCAGGAGCCGCATCAACACTGTGTCCTGTCATCTCACCCTGGTTGGGGGTTGAAGAAGGTCCACCGTCAGGGCAGCCCGAGTCACTCTCCACATCCTTATCAAAGGCCTTAACAGAGATCATGTTTTCATCTGGCTTGTTAGAGCTTCTAGAGGGTGAATTGGCTGCTGGCACGTGGTTGTGCTCCTTTTCTGCAGTTCCTGATGGATTGTTAGGCTGAAAGTCGTCTCCTGTCTTCTGTTGAGGCTGAACGGTCTGTACTGCTGCACTGGAGGACTGTGAAGGGAACAGCATTAGAGACGGGACATTATTAATGGAGCTCTGCAGGGGAAAAAGAAAACTCTCATATATTTGTTTTTATTAGTGTTTTCCTTCCTCTGCTTGGTAGAACTGTGAAATCTATTGAGAATGTTCTGAGCTTCATGCTTTACGTCAGCTTCATTTTTTGTCCATTGGTGTTTTGATATACAGTAAAGTATAAATTCAAGTGGCTGGCCAAAATCTGAGAGACAGTGATGTTGCAGTGAAAGCACTGTAGTGCATCTATAAATGATCCCTGCTTGCTGCTACAGTTTCTATGACACATTTTATGAAAAATAAATGACATTATTTATGTTAAAATTATTGTTGATTTATTATTGATTATTGTCAAAATTAATATGAAGGTTCCTTTCGTTAATGTATTTACTAACATAGACAAGCAATAAAAAATACATTTATTTCCATATTTATTTATAGTTAACTTTAGTTAAGCAAAATAAAGTAATTTGTTGTAAGCTCGTGTTAACGCACAGTGCATTAACTACAGGCAGGGTTCATACACATTTTTGCTACTTACATTTTTATGACTTTTCCATGATTTTTCAAGAAAATTCTCATGACCTAATGTTTCATGCAATATCTCTACATATGCGTGGTAAAAGAAAAACAATGCATGTTCAAATTTATTACAGCATATCGTAAAACATGCAACAATCTATTTAGTTTCAATTTATATTTATATCCATGTAAAATTGTTTTAGATAATGCTTACACTGCACTAATAATGTTAAAAATAACCTATATTAAAGTATACAGATATTCGTTTTCCAAAACTTTTCCAGGCCTAGAAAATGCCATGTCAAAATTCCATGACTTTTCCAGGTTTTCCATGACTGTATGAACCCCACACAGTTCAAAATCACACCTTTGGATTTTGCATTAATGTTAAACTATTATTAATAAATGCTGGTAATTCTTGGTTAATGTTAGTGAAATACATTAACTAATGAAAAGTGAAACCTTACGCCCCATTCACACAGGACTTCAGCGTCAACGCTTCCCATTCACTTTGAATGGGTGACGTCAGGCATTGCTGAACTGCATTGTGGATCCGTCGGCGCCGCTTCAGAGGCGTTGCTCACTGCAAAAGTTGGGACTAGCTCAACTTTTCAAGCGCCGATGGAAGTGTCAGCCAATCAGATCGCTGTATGCAAATAAACCAGCTAGACAGTGGCCTATTGCTCACTGAATTTCATAGGCTGATGCTTCTATGACGATCACTTCAGCCCCAACTTCAGACACTCCTTCAGTCAAGCGTTGACGCTGAAGCCCCATGTGAATAGGGCGTTATTGTGAAGTGTGACCAAAATCTTGCTGTAATTTAGGATGAACATATTAAATTGGACCAAATAAATCCTGTTGTTTTCAATGTTATTTTCTACTTTATACTCTTTTGAATAATCCTGAAAAAATGTTTTATGTTTTCCATTTATTTATTTTTTACACTTTTTAACGAAGTGAACTTGAGCTCACATCCAACTTAGAAATGCAACATTATGGAAATTTTGCCAGATACCTATATCTTTCTATTTAGAAGCTGATAACAAATATATAGGATATTATTACAAAATCATAGTATTTTTTGAGTCTAATTACAAAAAGCAAACAGTGAACCTAACTACACAAAACAAGCAGATTGCAAAATAGATCTTTTTTTCTCCCAAAATAATTGAAATTAAATTGAAGTCCTCTTTATTTATAGTGAAAAACTCTTCTGAAGCATGTCACCTGTAGTGACATCATATCTTAGAACTGCAGCTTTGTTTATCGCAGCGTAACCTTGTTCGTTTAAAAAAATACAATAATTCTACTTCAGAATGCAACTTGATATACTGACCTGCTCCAGATGAGCCCTGTTAAGGTGGGCCAATGTCGCAGGCTGTATTGCGGGTAGTCTTCTCAATCCAGACAAGCCTATTACTCCAGACAAACCGGGAAGTCTTGCAAATGGAGGTCCAGTGTGGCAGACACCTGTGTGAAAATCAACTGAGCCACTTAGATTGCTAGTGCGCTGAGGCAGGGGATCAGACCAGGTACGAGGGAGAGCGAGGGGGCTGGAGGAGCGTGGCGAGATCCCTGAGCGTTCCTCCTCATCTGGTTTAGAGCCGGCTGAACCGCTGCCACCCTCAAGCTCCACTAGGACCCACTCCTGTGAGTCGCCCTCTTGTGGGACAGGGCTGAGGTTCACGGCAACGTAACCACTGCTTGCTGCCCCCTCTTCATCCTCCAAAGAGCCCTGCTCGACCCGACAGACAGCCCTGTCCTGGGGCAGACCTGGACGTTGCTTTCCTAAGCTAGTAAGACAAAGAAGGGAAAGTGGTTATGACATCTTAAGTGTCCAATTCACATTATTTAAAGACGATTATGAGGAATTTGTTTACTGACTAGGCCTCAAGGAAGCGTTCAATGGTAGGTTTGGGTTCAGGAGTTAGTCTCTTATCCAGCCCCATGCTCTGACTGTGGCGCATCCTTCTCAGCAGCGGAGCCATGTGGTCGATGAGCAAGGTTTCGGAGCGCACGCGTCTGGGGGAGCCCTGGATGGAGCCACTGTTGGGGCTTTGGTTGCCCTCTTTGCTTCGTTCCTCCTCACTAGCCACCTGAATCACATATAGAACATTAAAAGCATCTTGGAGAAGTGACGGTACGATGAGAGTCTAAAAAAACAGTTGGGCTTCTAATTTAAACACTGGTTCTGCTGTGTTTTTTTTTATTCCCACAAAATAAAAAATTAAAAAAAAATCTGTCAGGGGGTTAAGTTGTGCTGTAGATTTAGATTAACCAAAAATAACAGTCATTAGTTTGTAAATCAGACATTACTGGTTGTGTAGAATGTTTCTGATTAACCTAAAGGAACCAGGTTTTCCATCTACTTGAACACATATCTACAATCTCGGAAGCGGCAAAAAGATGATGGCTTTGGGTATAGGAAACAACAGACTTTGGGCCAGATTTACCAAATAGGGCAAATTTGCACAGGAGCTCAATTGCAAAACATCACAGATGGGCATGGAAACTGCGGAGGACTTACAGAAAATGCACAAATTAAAACACAAAGACATAACATCTCATTTACATATCAACCAACGCAACAAGCACAGCACAAATTAGCATAGTGGCAAATAAGCAGAGCTGAGAGTCAAAATCTGTGAGTGATCTACTATGGCATGGCACAATTTAATTTTTCTCTGCCAGGGGTAAGGGGGAGCTGAGAAAATAATCAATATTCATGTCAAAGTTAGCCTACTTCCTACAAAATATTTATTTAATGAAAGCAGCTATATGGTACATACATTGAAAGTATAGTTTTGTTTTATTTTATTTAGTACTATTTATTTACTTGTTGGCCAAAGAATATGTATATTCACAAAAAAGACAAGTTTAATATAAGCAACGACAGGACAATGACAAAAACCTTTTACATGCAAGGGTTAAATACTTCAGGACTGGACATGCACTCATGCATGGTTCAGGCACAAAGAGAACAGATTGCATACTGTCTGAGGGAACGAAGATTGTGTTTCTATTACGTGAACAATAATTTTGGATGACGTCTTCCTCTGGCATTCCAAATATGGATGTGTGGAAAAAATATTCTACTTTATACCACATGATCTCTGTGGTTCCTTCTCCAGCAAAACTGGCATTTATTTCAAGAAAGAGAAACCTTAAGCTTTTTAGCTGTTTAATAATGGTGCAAATGTTTGTAATCTGAGGAGTGCAAACATTAATAAATCCTTTTGCATTATTTATTTAAATATTCTCCTCCCATTAAATTTAGCATTTAACAGAGAAACTCCTACAAAATGCATATTCAGTAAGGTCTGGTCCAAAAATAGCTGTGTTCACACCTTTACACACCTTTACAACTCTTCATTGCACATATTTAGTAAATACTGACAATACTGTTTTACAGCAAACAGACAATTTGCTCTGGCACAAACTATTAGTAAATCTGGCCCTTACTGTTTAAATCCTTCAAAATAATTATCTGAATCAGCATTTAAATGGTTTCAGAATATACTGATATTAGAACTGAAATACTAATAAATAATGCTGTTTTAATACAACGCCAGTGCCTATTATAACAAACACATAGTATTAACATCATAATTCCTTCTGAATCATACCTTTCTGATTTGCGGCTGAACATGGTTGAGATTTCTGTCACGACTGTGCTCTACATCCTCCCAGACATCGGTTCCCAGTGCAGGCTGTGTTGGGATGGGGGCGCAGTTATCAGCCTCACTGAGGCGCTCACCCTGAAGGACGTCCTCTGTGTTCTCACGCTGCAGATCACCCGGGATTGCAGAGGCATTGGCCATACTGGAAGGAAGCATTTCATTTAACAATGTAGGTCTTCAATTCAATTCATCAAAGAGTAACTGCAGTTTGTGGATATCTACCCTAAATATGCAGGTGTGAGGCGAGTCAACTGCTGGGCTGTGGTTGCCAGAGTTCCCACATTAAGGGTGTCCTCTGAATCCAGTTTCTCCCAGTCATATGGGTCATTTTCCACCACATTGTAGCTCTTCATACTGTTGTCAAAGACTGACATTAGGAGCTACAACACAAAGAGAAAACATGTGAGCAATGGTTACAACTAGGAATATCGCTAGTCAAGAAAGGCTCAGTTCAATACCTGATAATCTGGTTTAGTATAGTAGTCCAGATTGGAGATATGATCAAAGAAAACGCTAAACTCATCTGGAAGGTGCTTGAGCAAGAGTCGATGGTTGTATGTCTCCTTCATATTTCCAACTTGTTCCTGTATTGATAGAGGGAGATATTGAGAACACCAGCAGATCTCTTGTCCATGAAAAATGATGACTTGAGCAGAACTTACTTTGTCTTTGATTTTTCTCCATGGGAGCTGACCCACCATGAACTCCACAAGCATATAAAATAAAGACCACAGGTCATCATGTCGACCCATTTCCTTTGAAATAGAAAGATGTGCATTTTAGTGAAATATAAGTAATATAACCTTCTGTTTCAGAGAAACCTGACCGACATCTGCCATTGACTTGAGTATGTGTGCGAAAAGAGAGTTACCTTATTCTTGTGAGCATTAATTGAAGCATATCGGACGGTCCCTCTGAATCCTGCCACAGGACGTGGCTTTGAAAAATAACAAGAATATATGCAAATATAAGTAAACACATAGAATTTAATTATAAGGGTAGTACACTCAACATACATACATACATACATACAGTACATACATACATACATACATACATACATACATACATACATACATACATACATACATACATACATACATATATACATACATACATACAGTACATACATACATGGTAAATTTATAAAAGTTTAAGAATTAAAAAAAAACTAATTCATTACAAATAAACAAAAAGCACATCACTATGACTTAAGGGATATTTCACCAAAAATTAAGGCTGATTTAAAGTTTGGAATTCAGAAGACTTTCATGAAACCTTCATGTTTTTTGTGGCCTTTTAAAAATGTCCTCAATCAGGAGTCAAAGGAGTCCTCAATCACTGTCATTACGATCTTCAATAATTGTTCAAAAAATTTTGATGTAACCTAAAACATAGATTTGGAACTACACAAAAATAAGTGAATGATGACTGTAATTAGATTTTTAGGTTAACTACCGCTTTAAGCAACACTAATATATGACAACAGCATCTTTAAAACATAGACTGAGGTCTATAATTACTTACTGGACGGACTTCTTGACATGAGTTTGTAAACTGGCGTGCCAATCCAAAATCGAGCATGTAACAGGTTCGGCATGTACTGTTAAGTCGGCCCATTGCAAAGTTGGACTATTTGAAAAAGAAAGGGATTGAAGATTAGTTCATACAGTCTAAACAGAAATAATGAGGCCCAGCTGGTGCATGAAGTGTTGTCAACATCAGAAGTGCTTTTAGGCCCAGGGCTGTCTGTAAGAGAGCAGATTCTTACGGGTTTGATGTCTCTGTGCAGGAAGCCCACAGAGTGGATGCTCTCGATAGCTTCTAAGATTTGTCGGCCCAGTCTGAGTGTGGTGGAGACGCTGAAGGTGCCATGACTCATGTTGCGTCGAAGGTCGGCCAAGTTCCTTCCCTGCAGTTCAATGAAAACATAGCTGGAGTCAGGGTTGTTGAACTTGTGATAACGTCAATCGATACAAAAACAAGAATAAATGATCTGACCTGAAGCTCCATAACTACATAGTTGAATCGGTCATTGCGTCCACAGCCAACAAAACGACAAACATGGTCTTTACCTAGAAAATAAGCAAATGTACAGGCAGATATATTTTTTGCAATTAATGTTTTGCTGATTGTAGAGTAGCACAGAGTGCATATATTTTGTGCTTTTGCATTTATTTAATACACAATCTCATAATAGCAATATCTTAGATGTCTGTGATCATTTTTACCTTGAAGTCTTTTCAAAACTGCTACTTCCATCTTCAGGACTTGTTTTGGTTGCTGGGCAGATTCCACTTTCAGAGCAACACTGACCTGGTTCACATGGTCCAGCACTTCATAGATCTCGCCAAAACCACCTCCACCAATCTTCTTCAACTAGAATGGAACAAAATACACTTAATAAATGACAAATGACCGGAACAAAAACAAAATACTCTACTTTTTCAGTTGAAAAACAGTACAGTACTGTGAAATGTGATCAATCAACTGTTTTCTTCTTTTAAATGAAAAGTGTTAAAATGGAAATGTATTCCTGAGATGAAAAAGTTTATCAGGCATTCCTCCAGTGTGAAGCATCACATGGTCGTTCAAATACATCCTAATTATCCTGATTTGGTACTTCAGAAACAATTTGGTCACACTTTACTGTAAGGTTTCATTAGTTAAAAAATTTGCGAACAATACTTGTACACTATGATTTAATTAATATTTTTTTCAAATTATGTAAATGATGGTTCTTTTGTTCCATTGAACCTTCCAGCAAGGCAATGTCTCTAAAAATCAGGTTCAATAATATTAATGAGGGTGGTTTAATCCATAAAATGGACATTTTTTGATTAGCAGTGCTCACAGCTGATAAGATCATTTTTTTACTATTTATTATTATTTATTAATAATAATTCAACATTAACATAACAATGTATTCATAAAATCCAAAGTTGTGGTTTTAAACATTAGTTAATGCAATATGAGTTAACAATAACTAACAGTTTTTTTCATTAACAAATTGTACATTTAAAACATCCTGAATAAAATGCAATTTTTAATTGGAAGTGCTTGTTATATTGTTCCTCCTGTATTTTTAACAGTAGACAGCTTTCAAACTTGCATTGTAGAATAAATGTTTCACAACAGCTGTTCAGGCATGAAACACTGCCTTTGAGAAATGTCCTAGCTAAACGACATTGCTGTCATGAAACAAACTGCTGCGTCTAGTGACTATTCGTCAGCATGCTGTACCATTTTCCTTGCTGATGTCAGCACTGCTCAACACACCTGCCGTGTATCGTTTGACTGAGCTCAAAAGTGGAAAAAAAAAAACTCCTTGACAAAAAAAAGTGAACATAAATGTATCTGACAGCTATCAGAGAATCGCTACAGGACTAACAGCAAGTATCTGAATTGTCCTGAAACCTTGTCCTCAAATTCAGCTGTATTATAAAAAAAACAAAACAAAAAAAACAACAACTCACCACTCTCCATCGCTCCCGGACCATGCTCCCGACAGCCAAGATATCAGTCTGCTCTACTGTCCCACTCATCCTGATGCTCAAGAGTGGATGAGCACACTCAGAAAAGCTCTACACCTCACATCAGTGAGTTCAGGTCCTCACTGAAAATCACAAGCAAATTAGAGAACTTAAACAGATTTTAATAAAACTTAATTTAGTTTGGTGATTCTTAACATTTTTGACTCTGAACTCAAAGGCAATATAAAAAGGGCGCACAAAATATTTCGAGTAATTAATTCAGAAACGTGAAAGGACAATGTTAAAATAATTAAATAAAACAATTATATATTTAAATAACATTCTTTAATTTATTTAAATAAACGTTTACTCCATAATAACTCGCTTTAATTAATAATGAATTTAAAAATTGTATTTTGTTATGCAGAAAATAGCAGGTTCTTACACAATATGCTATAGCTGGAGTCCCGAAGCATTTTCTAATTACATTAATTTGAATCTTTTTTCTGAGACCCCTTTGAACAGCAGGGTTACAACTGAACTTAAAGGCTATAATCAAGTTTGTAGACATTTACTGCTAGGCCTGCTCGATATTGGAAACATTTTTCTATAAATTGCTATACAAGTAGAATTTCACAAGGTGATATCAATAACAATCATTTCAGAAGAATCCATAATTTTACATTGATAGGGAATGCATTTGTGTAAAAAATAATAAACAAGCAACAAGTTTAAATTAATACAACAAAACAAAGGTACAAAATAAATGTGATCTATTGTTTAAAGCAACTTAAAGAGTCTAACAGTATTTAGGGAAATAAATTAAGTAATCAAATGTGAAATAAATCTGTACACTAGGGCTGGTGTACATGAATATGAATATTTGAATATTTTGTTTATCTGCGATATCTATTGCGATATGAATTCCATTTCCAACAGATGAATGTCTCTATTTGGAAAGATCTTATCATTTTAGATTGGAATGATTGGAATCATGACTGGAATGATTCTGTCGGCGTGTACATCTGCATAAAATCCAATAAACAAATTAAAAGCATGGATATATACAACAAAGAAAAACAGTTTAAATGAACTGTGTGTTACGGTTTTCTGACTCTAACAGTATCCAGGTAAAGCATTTTTTTTAAAAAATCATTCAAAAAAAAAATCATTACTAATGGTACAATTACTTATGATAAATGTTTTTAAAATCCTCATACAGTGACAAGCCCCAATCACATACAAATGCTAAATTATAATGCAATCTCAACAATGCTTATTCTGCGATGTGACTTGCAAATGTTCACATTGTTATATTGATGCTAAAACAATATATTGTGCAGCCCTACTATATGCAGTAGTCAACATTCAACAACACCCATTCTTGTCTTAGGACATTTTCGAAAACCTTTCTGACTAACATAGTCTCCCTTGTATAAATAATTCAATAAAATTGATCTTTCTTAAAGCTAAAAATTGTATAATTTCTTGTGCTTTCATTTCACTTGTAAACTTACACAGTCAAAGTCCTTAAATTAATGCTGAAATGATATATTGTGCAGCCTTACTTCCTGCAGATATTGCTTGCAATGGCTGTAAACATGACATTAATAATAGAAAATTGCATTGGCTGCATCCATACACAGTTTTCTATAAGTGCACTAAGGACTACATGAATCTGACCTGTCCTGAGGTTCTTCTTTAAGCAGATTATGCAAGATCTGTAAAAGACCCTGTCCTGATTTTTTTTGACTGCCACGGCTAGAGTGCCAGCAAAACTGATGGAGCTAAATACAGTCAAATCCTTAAGGAACAGACTTACAGTAGGCCTGATACTAGAATAAAAATCACCCAATCTGCAATACAGTGACTCAGGGAAACATAATCTTTAAATCTACATCACAAAGACCACAAAATGCTAGCTTAATTATTTTGCATGCACACTAGGTTGTAAGACAGAGAGCCTTGGCTCTGTTTGATGTCAACTATAGGGAAAAGTGCAATCACTGGAATTTGTTCAGAGACTAAATGAATATTGAGAAGCTTCTGTAACTATTTATCATTTCAATAGACCTGCGCACAAAATACGATTTATCTTGAGAAATACATGCATTTTTTAATATGAATATCTATAAATGTACATGACAAATCGCACTATTATGTCTTTCTTTTTTTCATTCTTTTATAAACTGTTTTAAAACATGTTAATCTGTTTTTATCTGTTTAGATTTTTTTATATTTTCTTGTTTAATTTATTATTGTTTATGTAAATAACTTTGAATTACCATTGTGTATATAATGTGCTATGTGCTATGGTGAATCATGCACTCAAGATTTTGCTTTTTGCTGCACTAGAGTATAAAATATAATGACAATTAAGTGATCTGATTTAATGAATGTCATGAAACATAAAATATAAAGAAATATAAATTGCTGTTCATTATATTTGGTCAGCACAGTGGCGCAATGAGTGGCACAATAGCATGTTCTCCCCATGTTTGTGTGCTCTGGTTTCCCCCACAAGTCCAAAAACGTGGTATAGGTAAATTGGGTAAGCTAAATTGTCTGTAGTGTATGTGTGTGTAAATAAGTGTGTATGGGTGTTTCCCAGTGACGGGTTGCAGCTGAAAAGGCATCTGCTGTGTAAAGCATATGCTGGATAAGTTGGCAGTTCATTCCGCTGTGGCGACCACAGACTAATAAAGGGACTAAGCCGAAAAAAAAAAATGTATGAATGTTCATTATATTAAATTACATTTTAGTTACATTATAAATTATGGACATGATGACATTCAAAACATTAAGTGATAAATCTAGTGTAAAAGTAAAATTTAGCAAAATATAATACAAATGCTTATTCAGGTGTTAAATTTCAAAAGTTCTATAATTTTTTTATTGATTATCAATGTGACAATATTCTTACAGGTATTATTTGTGTAAATACAGCTATGGATGGAAAATTTTAACAGAGCTTTTGAAAACTCTTGGTTTCTTTATTGTAGGTAAAAAAGCAGGGTAATTATCAAACATTTGCAGTTAAAACATTGTCATTGTGATTAAAATGAACATAAACGTGTCAGAAAACTTGTCACTTCTTATTTAATGCCAAAATTGTTCTAAATGAGACATTTTAAATTAGGAGAAATCTCATCAGTAGTTCGCAAAATAAAACTGTGTGTCTTTGTGACTTAGAGTGCAAAGCATAAATGAGTACACAATGTTTTTCATTCATTTCTCAGTCAAAATTAGACTATATATTTTGGATCATTTAAACAAAAAAGTTTTATTTAACAGTTTTGTTCATTAAAATAGAGTTTCATCACCTAACATCTTTAGGGAAAGAACGGTAATACATTTACATTTGAATGGGGTGTTGCAAATGAAAAATTAAAATCTACAAAATTTGTTTATAAACATGTAATTCTACTTTGCACAACAAAACTGGTGTATACATACAAATCTAATTTAAACCAAAATAACATAAAATTACAATTTGACCAAAAACATAAAAATGTGCATAACAATTATTAAATGCATAATAATATTGCTATTATAATTTAATTTTGTTCTTATTAATTTTAAGTAGACCCAATTCTATTACGTTATGTCTTTGACTCAAGCTTAAATCCTAAAAAATGTTCAAAACTATTTTTCCACCAGTGAGACTCAGACCTGATAAATTACAGTAAAAATCAACTGCCAATACTAGCTGCATGCAGCACAGTTTGAATGGGGATGACTGCAGCTGGCCTGTTACATATGACTTTATTTTAGTTGACTCTCATACAGAATTGAAGCTTATGCTAACATCAACAATCTACGTTGAGAACTGCTGCTATCTTGTACATTTTGTTTAAGGGTTTCTCTGTCCTTTCCGCATCCTCTGGTGATAAACAGGTAACGTAGTCACACAGGACACAGGCTAGCTAAAGCTAAAGCATCAGCCAGAGCCAAATCACTGAACAAAACAGCGCAGTGAAGAGATACCCCGCTAGCTAATTAGCCGAGCTCAACGTCGGCGCCGCAACACATAGCGTTAGCTAGTACTGTACCGTTACATACGGTTGACAGGTTACACACGGTAAGGCAATGTTGTGACAGCTGTAATCCCGCTAATAATGCGGACTAGCTCGCTAAGCGGTCAGCACGCGTTCATTCAGGTGCCCGGTGTGTACGTTTACCTCTGTCTGCAGTGGCGCTCCGAAATGTTTCCGTAGCCTTCAAAATACCCTGTTGTGTTCTACAGGCCATGGTTGTGTGAAATGCTGGACAAAATATTCCCATAACGTTTCCAAACACAAAATAAGGGTACAAGTTCACGTTATTTGCCTCGCTTCATTTCTCCCTCACGGCAGCGGTAAAGGCGGCGATGACTGAGCGAGCGCACCGCTACGTGACGTCACATCTGGTCGAATAGGATTTAATATAGATATCTATTTTAAATTCACAGGGTGCAATTTGTTAAGTACCTTATTTAATATTGACTAAAAATGTTTAAAAAATCCCAAAGTATTTATTCACCTTAATGACAATTATAGCGTACTAATGACAAATATTGAATTAATCTAAGCTAATATGAACGAAAAGAGGTATTTATTATTAACAAATATTAATAAATGCTGCAACAAACGTAATACTGATTGTTGGTAAACATGTTAACAACTGGGACTTCATGATGATGTCTTGGTATTTTTTTGTATTAATATTATTATTATTTGTATTTGTATTGATTGTCAATGTGGTAGTATTCCTACAGGTATTATTTATGCATATACAACTATTGAGCAATTTAACAGAACTTTTGACAATTATTGTTTTCTCTTTTTTTGTAGGTGAAAAAGCAGAGCTGTTTCAACAAACATTTGCACTAAGTTAAAACATTTTCATTGTGTCTAAAATGAATATAAACGTTTAAACGATATTTAATGCCAAAAATGTTCTAAACGACAACATTTTGATTTTAAATTAGGAGAAAATGTCATCAGGTGTTTCCAGAATAAGACTGTGTGTGTTTGTGAAATATCAACACATAAATCTGTATAAAGACATGGGTATTACACAGGTATTACAATGTCTCCTTTCTCAAAAAAAAAAAAAGCTTATAAATGAGTTTTTTTTTCAGAAAGTAAAACCGTATAGTTTCCTATACGGGTTGGTTTTAGGGATTTTTTAGGACAAAAGAAAATAGAGTTTGTATAGTGTTAAAACAAATGTCCCCACAATTCACAAAAACAAGTGTGCATATGTGTGTTTTATTCAAACACAACCATAAATCATAATTTTCCACAGAAACTGCGAATAGTCTCCTAATGTACACTGTATGTGAAAGATGTAGGGTTAAAACACAACCATCTCATTAACTTGGTCGTAGGTATTCATGTGGCATTGCAGCTTATATAGTTTTGAATGAACCCAGACATAAACGATAAGCTGGTTACACTTCTCATGTGACACACACTCTAAATGTAAATTAACAAGTCATTGAGATCGGTTCTGTTTATGTTCATTTCATTTATCATAAACAAATGCATCCACGGCACACAAATGTTTTCTTCAACAATGTAAGGAATTTACACTCATTTGCAGAGGAAAGATTTATCAAATGAAACAGATGTCAGGTTAATACACAGAGTAAAAACTACACAGTTCTGCGATTCAGCAACCTTGTGTTTTGATATTTAGTGGCATCTCCTCATGTTTTTAAAAATACATAGACTAACAGAAGACTTCCTTGATGATACCCGTTTCACATGTAATTAAAAAATAATGTTTAGAGAAACAGCTTGCTCCCAACAACAGCACGATGTAAAATCTATAAAACACAGGATTAAAAACTTTCAAATATAGTTATTCTATCTGTTATTTGGCATTATAAATCAAGAAAAAAAGGCTTCAATCCCTTTCTTAAAAGTGACAATTCACATAAAACCATTGTAAAATCTAAGCATTGCTGTCCCTTTCAATAACCACATGCCAACAAAAATAATGGCATTAGGCAGTAAGTAGTGATGACTCCCAAGTGTGAATTCAAACACTTATTTAAAAAAATGTTAAAATCTGATTCTCCCTTAAAATGGAAATAACTGTTAAAACTAAAAAATTGTGTTGATTGCAAAGTCCAGTATTAGTTCTCCTCAGCCTTTTCTCCACCCAGCAGTCTCTCTCTCTCTGGGACGTTTCCTTCTTCTGTTATCTGCTCTCTTGCAAAGCAGGGCATTTTGGCCATCAAAGGCTTGTGGAGTCCATTGTACATTGCTGTACCCAAGAGCAAAATAATAAAGCCTAGAATCTGTAGGCCTTGGAATTTCTCCCAACCCAGTGCTAAACTCACGACCCAGATGACCAGTGTACGTAGACTGTCCAGCACCATGCGAGTGGTGGCGCTGATCTCTTTGGTCACGCTGATGCCAGCAAAGTTAAAGAAGGCGATGCTCACGGTGTTGCCCAGAAGTGCCAGCAAAATGAGAGGTTTGTGACCAATCTGACAGAAGGCGTCAAGGGTGTCTTCAAGGACCTGACGAGGGTTATCTGCAAAACTGCCCACGTGGATGAAGAACATCGGGATGAGGAGGAGAGAGAGGATGACAAACCCAAAAACACCTATGAAAGGGAGAGGAGATTTTTGGGTTATTATGCACTTTAATAAAAACATATAAAACCAAACCTTACGTTATATCACACACAAAAATCAAACTGTGATATGTTCAAGGCAACAGATAATATAATAGAGAGAGTGAGAGAGAAAGAGAATTTACCCACAATTCACTGAGTTAGACAATAAAACACAGCTTCAATATTTACTAGGGGAAAAAATGAGTGTGTCCTTTTAGCGGCCCAATACATTAATGCCTGTCACAAAAAGAGAGAGCAGACCAATAAAAACATCAGTGATGCACCTGCGCGCGTGCACACGCGCACACACACACACGCACGCGCACGCACACAATTGCTTTTATTACGGTTTTATCCTAAAATGTTGATTGGTAAATGTAAAGTTTATTCTGATCTATTTTTGTATGAATAATATGATATGTTGAATAATGATATAATATATTGAATATTAATGTGACATATTGAATAATATGATGTATTGTTCATATTTTATTTAATTATTATATATAAATATCATCTCTTTTTTAACTACTATTTACTGTGTGTACTGTTTTTTATTATATATGTATGTTACTTTTTATGTGAACTTTTTATGTAACATAAAACTTTTATGTTATAACTGCTTTGGCAGTACATATATAACATTTGTCATGCCAATAAAGCAATTATTGAATTTAATTGAATGAGAGAGAGAGAGAGAGAGAGCGAGAGAGAGCGAGAGAGAGAGAGAGAGAGAGAGAGAGAGAGAATACAAATTGAGACTGGGATAGAGATGAGTCAATGGATGATGAATGTTGATTGATTGATTGATTGCTACATTTAAATATGGAAAATAGCCTACTTCATAAGTAACAAACACATAACACTTAAATATTTTTTTTCTGATATCATTTTTAGATTTTTTGATTCATGAACTTAAATCAGTTTTTATTGTTTGTGCTGTCAGATATCTTAATCAAAGGGTGGCTAAGATGAAAGTTACCAATATAGGGTCTAGAAACACCTATCAGTCAACATTGTTTCTTTTATTAATCTATACTATATTTGACATATTGCTGATGTTCCTTTTCCTGTTATTTAAATGTTAAATGAAAGTAAAGACATTTCTAGCTGCTCTTTTGAATTTTCTATTACTGAAATATCCTTAAAATAATTCATCACAATTTCCACAAAAATATTAAGCAGCAAATTGTTTTCAACAATGATAATAAGAACTGTTTTTTTTTTGTGAAGACTGGAGTAACAATGCTGCCATCACTGTAATAAATTATATAATAAAATATATGAAAATCTTTTACTTTTGATCAAGTTAATGCAGCCCTGATGAACTTCTTCTATTTTTATTTTATTAAATTTCTAACATTTGAACAATAGTCTTTATGTTTTACAACTTATTATAAATTATTATTAGGTAGCACCAATTAAGCTATGAAGATAAAACCAGAAAGTCTGCTTTACTGTTTTCCAAAACTTCTTCAAACCTGGTAAATAAACTTGATGATTCTTTAATGTTTTGCTCCATGATGTTAACTACACACATCCATACTGAAAACATACATTTGCATTAATTTTAAAACACATAGATTTTTGATAATTTGCTGCATAAGAATATTTATGGTATCTGTACAGTTTGTAAAAGCATGTAGTTTACCACATAACCTATTTTACCCACAATACGAAAACCCTATAGAAGAAAAAAAAGAGTGAAACATGTTGCAAATCACTCATTTGTGTTTTCATGACTGAAGCTATCCATATACTTTGATCAAATTAGTCAGTGGCTTTATGTGAAAATGAATAATTCTAAAACTTTACCTTCAGTCCCAACAGCCTTGAGTGGATGCACATTATGCTTGTAAACAAACTTCTCCTCCAAGACCATCTGAACAGCAACAATGATCTGAGCCATGATGATCAAAAGGTCTCCTAGCAGACAAGATCAATAGGTAATCAGTGCAACATTCCAAACAGATAAAGATGCAGAGTGCTATCGATTAGAAGAAAAACATCCTCATGTGAGAATGTGTAGACAAATTGCATCATTCTTTATGACTACATATTTTAAGCAACACCAGTTACCTGTGATAATTTCACTAAGTTTATGGGAGTCGTCACCATGGCCGCTTACAAAGTCAGCCAGTCCAACCACCACCAGACCAAGAATGGTGATTAGTATCCCAAACCACTGGCTAGGTTTCAGCCGGCGTCCTAAAAATGCTACAGATAGCAGTCCAGTGAAGATGATCACAGCTCCTCGCAACATCTGGAAACTGGAAGCGCTGGTCATGTTAAGTGCTAGAGACAGAAAAAAACAGGAATGAAATCTTTTAAAAAATACTAAGCACAGACCCAGCATAAAGTTCACATAAAAATGAAAACAATGTCATTATTTAATCATCCTCCTCTTGTTCCAAACTTTTGTTTCATTTGTCTGTAAAACACAAAAGAAGATAAAAAAATACTTGCAAAGTATTTTGGATGTCAATGTACACAGTTTTCCAACATTCTTCCAAATAATTACTTTTGTGTTTAACAGAATCCCTTTAGTGCAAGTATATGGAAATACAATTAAATTTTTTGTTGAACTAATTCTTTAACCCAATCTAAGAATAAGAATGGATGCTTTAGCTATTATAGAAGAAACCTGTAGCTTTAAAGTTGATCATTGCACCTCAGATTGACTGAAAACAACTGAAATGATCTTTCACAAAGTTTGACACTCACCAACATACATGATGGATGTTCCCAACATATCACAAAGAGCAGGAGGGAGGAAAACCAGTGGGTTAAAACTTTCGCCTGGATCCATAGTGGGCTCGGGTCGTCGCCGGTCATGACATAGGAGAATGTAAAACACCACGAGACAGGACAACTCTCCCAAAAACATGCCCACAGCCTGGAAGGGAAAGGAGTTGTTTACTGTTAGTGTGCATAAGTGAAAAAGGATATAGAATGAAAAAAGTGATACGAGGAGACAGAAACCCTCTCAAAAACAGTTCTCAGTTGACTAACACATAACACTTTCAGTTCTACATTTCCTCAGAACTAAGTTTGCAGAGAGGAAGCTTGATGTAAATGGTGTGCTGTATGCTGGTGGGATGACTTTCATTACCTGCACAAACGGGTGAGAGAAGTCATGATCTGGGCTGCCATGACAGCCAGGTGCAGAGAACATATCAGCCCATCTAGAAGATAAAAAGATACGCTGATGATCAAATTCATCTTAACATGACTTCATATGTAGTGACATGCTTTAACTATGAATAGTTGAAATAGCTGAGAACATTAAATCAACAATAGCTTAAAGAGATAGTTCACCCAAACATTTTAATTTACTCATCCTCAAGAGGTTTTTAAACCTTTTAAAGTATCTTTTATTGAACACAAAATATTATATTATAAAGAATGTTGGAAACTAGACGTCTATAAAGGGAAATGTAAAATTCTGTGGAAGCCAATGACCAGTTTTCAACATTCTACAAAATAAAACTCTAACAGGTTTGGGATAAGAGGAGGCTGAGGATGATGAGAATGAAATGTTTCATTCATAGGTAAACTTCCCAGTAAATTTGGAGCTGCACTATTAGTTTGTCCTAACAATGATGGATAAGAGTTGTGTATGAAAAACCTGTAACAATTATTACACAATAATAATGTTCAATTCAATTTTTTGTTATAATGAGCATTCACAAACTAAAACATTAAAGGGACTTCCATACAGGCTGAACTTTAAATATCTTACATTTTTTAATCTCGTCATCTTATTAAGCAGTCATGTGTCTTCAGATGACTTTGATTTAACAGCTCATGGATTTTTTATCTCTCTATGAAAGCCTCAGAGTTTTGAGTGAATACACTTTGAATACAGAGAGAGAATCTCTCAGAATTTATTAAAAATATCTCCATCTACAAACTTTATATGGGTTTTAAGTTATATTAAACATTTTTGCAGAATTTTTAAGTGAACTAAACCTTTAAAAATATAACTAGTCTTACATGGGTTAGTCACTGTAAGTTTAATAAGTAACAAAGTTGTGCTACTGTCATTTTTACAACCATGCATGACTGACATAAAGCCTGAAGATAAAAAGACCTTTTAGATGTAACAGTTTGTTTTAATTTATTTTACAATATACTTTTAGAAACATTCTGTTATAGCGAAAAGTTATTATGACATTGTAAAAATCAAGAGTGTACTTAAGAGTGAGATCACGGATACATCAACACCATCAGTGTCAGTTTTTCAGCAGATATATGGGATAACGTGTGGTATCCGGTATCTTCTGCCTAGAAACGTTAAGCTTCTGTTTTAGACACAAAGCTATATCAAGTTACAAGACGTTTGGCAGTATCTTCTTGACTCAGTGTACAACCCAATTCTACTTGTAAGACATATAATGCTGTGATGGCACTATTGACTAATAGTCACAAGTGATTTCAGACTGTCAAAATTGCTGATTTTGCAGTCTAAACATGTCACGACACGTCTGATCAACTGCACGTGAGTCTAATAATCTTTTCCTCAAATTTTAGTCATGTTGTTTAGGGACTAAAAGGTCAATGGGTGATATTTAATCTAGTTTGTGCTTAAGTAAAATTATGACAGGTTTTAAATGTACTCTTCCAGATGTTACAAAATATATGGTACAAAATATCACGTAATGGATACATAAAAATAATGACATAATGTGCGGCTTTATAAACAACGTAAAACATAATTGTTTCAGCTATTTGATTAAAGGTAAAAGTTTGGTTGATAAAAGCACAAAAAAACAAAAAAACAAAATATCATACGGTATGGAATCCTATGTAAACAAACAGCATCTGGCGCGTGCGCATTACTTACTTTGCGGAGAGTGTGTTTAGAGAGCCTGTCGTGAGCATCAGCCCGGCGAGAAAGAGCTGATATTTTGTCCACTTCATCGTAAGTGTGGGGCTGAGTGAGCGCGAGCATCAGACACTCAAGATATCTTGAGATGTGCCTTTCTTGCTGATGGCTACAGCAATCTAAACAGGTCGTTCCCCCTGTATCCAAATCACATGACGGTGATCATGTGACACACCAGCTGACGCCTCATTTCCGTAGAAGTATGAGAAGGCAAGCATTTGGTGAACAGCACAGATATTTATGAATAATGATGATGTGTTTGTTGCCTGAAATAAATAAATAAATAAATAAATAAATAAATAAATAAATAAATAAATAAATGTCAGTTTAGTTTACAGCAAAGCTGGAAAATAAACTAGAAAACATTATTTGATTCAGGAAACATTTTTTATTTGGTGCACTTCATTGCAGTGTCTAGTTTCCTTTGAACCTGTTGATCAAAACAAAAACATTCAGATTAATTTACTGATAATGCAACAACAAGTGTCTTCTTGTATTTGCATTGTATGAAAAAAAGATTAAAGGTATCATGAATTAAATAAATTTAAAAAAAGACTCTCCAAGATTTTCCTTAGTAGACCATTATAGCATTTTAGCTTAATGCTATAACCTATAATTTGAGAGCCACTGACCAGCATTTTATGAATCACGAAAGCCCACAGTTTCAATCTCTACAAGCTCTACTGAGGAAAATATTTATATATATATATATATTTGTGTATGGTCTAATGGGGAGCAAATTTACATTTTTGGATGACTTATCTATTTAATGAACACACCTTTTTTTACATTTACCAATAAAAAAAACTCATAAAAATGTATTCAGGTTTTTTGAACTAGTAGCTACTTATTTTTATGTTACTATTATTTGATAATAGTTCTTATTTATTAGTTAGTACTATTTAATCCAATAGTTACTAGACTTTAATTATCTTTGTTAAAAAATAAATATTTTTTTTTGATTGATAAATGTTTAATGGGTTGACATGAGTGTCAACCTCAACTTTCTTTCCACTTTCTTTCTTTTTTTTCTTTCTTTCTGTCCTTTTTTTTGGGGGGGGGGGTGTAGCACACATCAATGATCACTGTCAGCTTCTTCTCTGTCAAATGATGTCACTTTCGAGTCAGAGCAATATGCAAATGTGACAGGACTGACAGAAACATGGGGGCATTGTACATTTATTTGTATTATATATTTGTAGTACTTATTTCTTAGTTGTAATTTATAATTTCATGTTTTATCAGTTGATGTGAATGATAACAATTGAAATCAAATTAAATCACTTTTATTGTCACATCAGCTGCAGCACGTGTAGTATGAGGAGTGAAAAGCTTAGGTGCTTGCTTCAGACAGTGCAAAATACAACAACAGTGCAAAATAAAACAACATACTCCCAGAAAACAAAACAATATATAATTAGCTCTGTTGAGAGTAATCCGTAGAAGACAATAAATACGTGAAAGACAATACATGTGTTAAGAAATACACACACATGTAGGCACAGATAAACAAGTACACAGTCAAAAAAAATGTGCATACATAGTCTGATTGTTGGTGGAAAATTATTGTAGGCAATATTGTTTTAGGTAAGAATTGGTTGAAGTGTAGTGCATGTAGTGAGTGGATATTGCTGTTTCTGATTTTTTTTTTCTTCTGAAAAAACAGTTTATAGCATAACAAAACTATTAAAGCTGTTTACGTTAAATTGGACTGAGGACAATGACAGGGTTTGTACATTTGTAAAGTGCTTTTAGTAAAGAATCTGAGAACCAAACGAATGACATTTCTTTACAAAACAACACACAGAGCAAAATCCTTTCATTCATTTTTGGGGATGAAATTCTTCTTATTCACTGTATTTATGTTTTTATTTCAGGGACAGATAATGTACATTTCTTATAGAATGTCCATTACATTATTGTGGTAAGAGATGGACATCAATTTACAACCTTTACAGGGTTGTTCTTATTATAAAGCGCCATAAAAACATTATTCATTTTCTTATTAGCTTGCATTTATTCACATCCCACTATATACCACAAAGTGCTTAAAATAAAAGTGATACTGTCTGTAATAAAAAAGACCTTCTGTTTCTGTTGCTCTCCCAAACTCAACACTGTATATGACACATTCCATTCCAGCAGTGCGCGAGAAGTTCCTTCCGTCCAATCACAGTGTGCGCCTTCTGTCGCCTCGCCTTCAATCCGAAACTCTCTGATTGGCTGCGTCGGTGCGAACTGTTTTGTTGATAAATAACTTTGATAGATTGATTATTTTTCAAGAGGATCCTCGAACTCCACACATCCTGCAAACAATATCGGTAACGTAACGCTGAAGCGACAGAATGTAAACAGGAAAACTGGTTTGGTGACTACAGCTGAGGAGTTACTCGGATACAAAAAGTTGTAACATTTGTCAGCCTGCATGTAAAACAGGCCTCTCGGTGCATTATAATGACACGTTATTCTGGCGTGTTAAATGTGCGTAACGTTTCTTCGGTCTAGGCGTTTACGACGGACTGCATTGTGCGTAGTTTGTATATGGTCATGCACGCTGCTGTTGACTTTGCCCAGGGCTGGAGCTGTTTTGTAAGGTGCTGTCAGCCGAACTTGAAAAGTAAGGAAGAGGACGTCAATAACACATTGCAACAGTGTAAGTACGATACAGTCGTCTGTGTTCATGCGCGACAGATTTCGTTCAGTAAGCTAAGGGCGCAGAGTGCACAGAGAATAAAAAGTGCACGAACACTTTGTCGTTTTATAGGAAACATAATAGGGTGGTTTGGTTTGCTGTACAGCATTGCTTTTATGTTTATTTTGTTAGAAATGGTTTCATCGTATTTTCTGTATTGGGAGGGGTCATAAGTGGGTTGAAAAGTAGTTCTGCTTGTTCTCTCTCTCTCTTGTATTCTCTCTCCATCTCTCTCTCCCTTTCCCTCTTCACTTCCTGTAATTCTTGTTGTCTTGCAATGCACTTTTCATGCCCCTCCCGTGCTGTGCAATTGTGTTTGTCAGGTTTCCTGGTTTCAGACCACTGTGTTCCCTTCCACTTCTTAGTAGTCTTTGCTGAATATTCATTCATTGATGGAAAGCACAAAGAAACAATCTGTCAGTTTTGACAGGTTATGGCCTGTTTTGTAATGTGTGATTTGAAGTGTACTTGATAACTCACTCTATTTGTGTTTGATTAATTGTTAATTTGGGATCCATCACTGACCTGTGTGAAAAATAAGAATGTTCAATATAATGCTATATTCAAAGTATTTATTTTTGTATTTCGAGTAAAATTGGTAAGACATTTTAATTGGACTCCAAAATAACAATGCGTTGCAAAAAAATACAATTTCTCTTACATACTGAATATATGTGTGTCAATCCTTAACGGAGACTTTGATTTGGCAGACTGTTTTAAGAATAATAAAAAAAAAATTATGGCAAATTATTTTTATATAAGAAATTTAATTTGAATTATTTTGTGCCTTTGATGTTAGTCTATATGATACTTAAGAAATGCGCTCAATAGCAGTGATATAGATAAAATACCTGCGATAGAATTCTTTCTCACAGTTGAAAATATATGAAAGAAGCAAGAGGTAAATTTATACAGTATAAAATACTTCATAGGTATTATTACACTTCAGTGCGACTTCTTAGAATGGGATGCTTAGATGATAATAAATACTCGAAATGTAAACAGGAGATTGATACATACTTTCATGCATTATGACAATGTATAAAGGTTCAGCCCTTTTGGGAATCTGTGTTAAGACAATTAGGTAGATGTTTGGTATTTAATATCCCTCTCTCATTCAGGATATGCCTTTTAGGTGACAACTGATGTTCCACAAATTACAAATGATGAGTTCACCCTTGTAATTTTGGGCATTACTACAGCAGCACATATAATACTGAGGTTTTGGAAAGATATTAAATGCCTTACACTTAAATTATGAATGGAATCCATGATTGAGAATGTGTAATATGGGAAAATGTTGGCCAAAATGAATGATGATTACAAGGAAATAGATATGTTTGACATTTTCATTTCCTCACTTAAAATGTGAATGTATTTATCCTGTTATGCTCTGTACTATTATTTTCATTATTTCTGTACTCTTGTTACTGGTTGTTGAATTGTTTATTTATTTTCTAAATTGATGAATACATTTATAAATTGTGAAGAAATTGTATAAATTATACATTTGTATGGTTTTGTATTTTATATCAAGAAAAAACTAATAAAAATCTCATTAAAAAAAGAGAAATACTCTCAATAATGATCTCAATTACTTTGAATTAAAATCAGTATGCATCAGTATAGAAACATGTAGATGAAAAGAATATAAGACAAGAGGACAATACATAGTCATAGCTATGCTAAATCTTTTTACAAATTGCTGGCATATAATTGGCTCATTAGTTTGCGTTCATATTTTCTGTTTTGCATTCTTTTGGTTTTCTTTTTAAGTTTTGTCTTCTCATGAGAAGTCTTTAATTTGCTTGTGAGGAATTTTTATCAAAAAAAAAATTCAGTTTCTTGAGGAGAAGCAAGCAAATATATTGCATGTAAGTGCAAAAACGTTAAAATATATTTTGACTATCACCTTGTCTCTTTATACAATTATAATTACTTGCATGCTTCATGAAAGTTACGTGTGCAAATTTTTGCTTATATGAATATTTAATGTATTTTAAAATAAACATATTTAGACAAGAAAAAAAAACATGCTATGAGCTACTTGCATTTTTTTTTTGTTGGTTTAATTATTTTGTTTATGTTGCAGACAAAATTTGACTCATATTGTTACTGTTTTCAAAGTGTAACTTTTTGTGTTTCTCCATTTTTTTAGATCATTTCCCATGACTGAGGAACGACTGAGGTTTCAAATATTTACTCCACCTTTAAAGTGCAGTTTAGAAGCAAGTGAGGAGGTGGGGCTCCTGTACCCTATTTAAACCTGCATGTGTAAAACATTATCAGCAACCTTGTTCAAACCAGGCTTACTGAATGCCTCAGGATTTTGCTCATCTCGTAGTTTCACACAATTGCCATGAGTCTTTCTCCACACCAGAGAGGAACCATAAACAGTATTAGCAAACAAAATGTTGAAGCCATTAGTGAAACAATGCAGCATTCAGGG